ATGGCAAGCCGATTACAAAAATCTTACCTACAACGCAAAATAAGTTCTGTCCGTCAATTAGAGTGGGTATGCGATAAGTCCCGATTTAGTGGTAAGCGAAAATTAGATCATTTCATGTCTACGGTGCGAAAGCTTTACTATGAGGAATGAATATGACTTTTGTAATCAGCACATCAATGAACCCCGGCGAACCATTTTTCAAGCAAATATACGTACCACATCCAACAGAAAGATAGTACTAATGACGATGATTTTCGTAATCACCATAGCCAATTAACACACTAAATGGTTTGATATGATTTTCAGATTCCTCCAGATTCAGACCAAGCTGTCGGTTGAGCTTTTCGACTTTCTAGGCATAAATTTTCAATCATAGTTCAACACAACCAAAATTGTTGAACAAGTTAGGTAATTCGTTTGTAGGCGGAGCCTTCTACTTGCGAAGCCACACTGGGGCTAAAATTTGCAAATTTTACAACTTTTTGAGTTTGAAAAACCATCCAACAACCCTTCAAAGCTAGATTATTCCTGGAAGAAGAATAAGGTTACGGTACAGGCCTCAAATAAATGTAACTAAATATGTTCTGTAGAACGTCGCATTGTAAAAGCTATATAGGTGTTAGTTAACCTATGGCAAAGAAACCACTACCAATTTCGCACATTTACAATCAGCGTAATTTGGTAAGCGGCAACATCAAGGCAAGCCCAACCAGTGAGAGGCGCGGACGAGGGCTAGGTCAGTTGCGCATGCGGTACTGTAAAGTTAAAGTATTACCCAGCTTTTGATTCATTGTACCTACCGTACTTTACAGAGAGCATCACCGCATTACGATTAAGATATTCCTACTCTGCGAGTAAACTTATTCATCGTTCTTCAGATATAATTTATTGTGTCCCTCAACCAACTGCTAAATCTCAAGGGACAACCTTTCTAGCCACTCTCCTCCGCACCTCTCGTTGGTTGGGGGTGACTAGCGGCTGATGGTTCGGCAGGTTAAGGCGAGACGGTGAAGGTACTGGACTGTATCAATCTCCCTGTCGAAATTGGGAGCGCTTTTACAACAGAAAATCCTCCCTATCTTAGATAAGGAGCTGTTTTTCTATTGTAAAAGTGCACCTTATCTTCGACAGGAAGTTTGATACATTCTACCCCTGGTCTGTTCAGTAAATTTACATAAAGACGTACATTGTTCTGAGGACATCAGCCAGCGACTCACTAAAGGACGGCTCATAAACCATTTTTTCTCCTCAAGTGTCACATAAGCTGTGAGTGGATCCTATGTGAGTCAACATATCACCCAACTCGAGCCCACTAAGCCTACTTATATCTAAAAGCGTTCCAAATCGAAAGCAAATTGAGATTATCCTGCAACATCTTGGCAACACAATTATGTTGAGATTTGAGCAACTCTTGAAATGTCATTTGGAAAGTACCTAACATTCATTCAGTGCAATGTCATCAATTATCAAAGAGAAAACGGCGCCAATAACATATGTGAATATTACGGTATCCTTGGCCGTTATTTCGGAACTTCGCTGTGTTGTAAGAATAGACACGAAAGTCTGCTAGAAGCTAAGTTCAACACAAGTCTATTTTTGCTTCGGTGTGCATTCCGTGACTTTTGACGGTCACTGCGCCTACGATCTGATCTCAAAAACACCGTACGCTTCCATGATCATTGAATATATTGTGCGTTACTCTAGGCGCAAGATCTCAACAAATTCGCTTCCTTTTTAGCTTTTTCTCAATCACTTTTCAATTTTTCAAAACCTAAAAATGCTTTCACCTAACTGGTTTCATCAACACCGTGCGACATGTGTCTTTAAGGACGACACGCATGTCTTTTTTGAGTATTACTAACAACAATAGCTTAGTTTACCACAATCAAGATATGATGTGCCATTACATATCATGTACCTTGAATGTGTTCGTACACGTATAGCAAAAGATCGAGTCGCTCTGCTCACTTTC